TAAAATATAAAAACAAAATAAAATATAAAAATAATCAAGATAAAGTAAAGAAATGGCATAGTAAAAATATAGGAGAAAGTGCATAAATATGCATTGATCACTCATCACGCTGGGAGCGCTTAAGCGTCACCCCATGGACACAAACCTTAGGATCTATGACATTTTGATATTAATGATTATAGGAATACCTTAACAAATATAATGAGAAAGATTTTTAGACAATGGCAACGATAATTCTAAAATACAAAAGTGTACAGACAAGTGTTTGACACTGGTTGGCTTGTGGATTTTTCTCAACCGGTACTCGTAATGTCTTGAAAACTCTTCGAATGGGGATAAAAAGAGATAATCTTCTTATAGGATGATATATTTGTGATCATAGTCTATATATAAAATGATAATCATTTAGAATTCTCATTATTTCGAAATGGATTATCTTGACATCCACTTATATTTAAGCACATATTCAATTAAATAATTAATTATTAAATATAATTAATTATTTTATTTACTTACTCAACCGGTTAAGATTCTTATATATATATATATATATATATATATATATATATATATATATATATATATATATATATATATATATATATATATATATATATATATATATATATATATATATATATATATATATATATATATATATATATATATATATATATATATTATATATATATATATATATATATATATATATATATATATATATATATATATATATATATATATATATATATATATATATATATATATATATATATATATATATATATATATATATATATATATATATATATATATATATATATATATATATATATATATATATATATATATATATATATATATTGCTCTGTCCCGCTCATCACACGGGGTCGGCCCAATCCATCTCTCCGTCGTGGAGGGCCTAGCTCATTGATCAGTTTGTCGCTCGCGGATCAAAACGAGTGTTTTTGATGAAAACGTAATACAGCGACAATTCAACTCGGATATCGTCTCAAGGATTCTTTTATGTGATTAATCTACCAAATTAGAAATGGAGGGGGAGTTGGTTTGGTTTCTGATCGGATAAATAAAGAAAATGCAATTAAGCGGTTAAAATAAGTGATTATCAAAATAAGTCTATCTACTGTTTTCCGTTCCGGCTTATCACGGGTTTCTACCTTACCAATTTCCTAAGCGATTTCGATCTCTATTCGATTCCTATGTCAATTAACAAGCGCAAAAGACATAAACTAGATTAACAATCCTATATTCCAAATTAAGCAAACGGATTAAGTTTTCGTGAATTAAGCAAACACGAATTATAAACGCGAATTAACGACAAAGCGACGTAACGACGAATAAAAGCTAAGGATGCAATCATACAAATTTAATCAAAAGAGTTCTATAAACTAACAGATTAAGCGAAAGCAATTCATAGAACAGTGTTTAAAGAGAAACGAATTAGATTGATAAAGTAAAAACCTCAAAGCGTTGGAACGCGATTACAGCAGAATGACTTTAAGGAATTAGCTCTCCATGGTTCTCTCAAAGCTCCGAATGTATTTTTCGTGAAAATGTAACTATGTGAACAATAACACGAGTATTTTTTCCTTTAAAAAGAAAGCAAATTCGGGTCATAACCCAACTGGGTCGAAAACATAACCCAGGCCCAATACATGACCCAACACTAAAATAAAATTCTAATGCAGTAACTTCAAACGGAATTCTGGAATTTTGGGCTCCGAATCTGACTTTGACTCCAACACGAAAGTCGTAGCTCTCTCCCTTAGCTTTCCGGCGATTTTTAGAACGCCTCAAATGGATTTCCGGAACTCCAGTTATGATCGTTTCCGTGCAGACTGGTAAAGCTGAAAAATAAGTGCGGAAATCAAATTAAGCCAAAAATAAAATAAAATATAAAAACAAAATAAAACATAAAAATAATCAAGATAAAGTAAAGAAATGCCTAAGTAAAAATATAGGAGAAAGTGCATAAATATGCACTGATCACTCATCACGCTGGGAGCGCTTAAGCGTCTCCCCATGGACACAAACCATAGGATCTATGACATTTTGATATTAATGATTATAGGAATACCTTAACGAATATAATGAGAAAGATTTTTAGACAATGGCAACGATAATTCTAAAATACAAAAGTGTACAGACAAGTGTTTGACACTGGTTGGCTTGTGGATTTTTCTCAACCGGTACTCGTAATGTCTTGAAAACTCTTCGAATGGGGATAAAAAGAGATAATCTTCTTATAGGATGATATATTTGTGATCATAGTCTATATATAGAATGATAATCATTTAGAATTCTCATTATTTCGAAATGGATTATCTTGACATCCACTTATATTTAAGCACATATTCAATTGAATAATTAATTATTAAATATAATTAATTATTTTATTTACTTACTCAACCGATTAAGATTCTTATATATATATATATATACACTACTAGAAATACTCTGATTTCCTGCGGATTTACCTGCGGATTTTAATACAATTTCCGCAGAAAACATGTTTCCTGCGATTCTTACTGCTATTTTCTGAGCCCAGCTAAAACCTTCGTGGGTAATTAGCTTAGCAGGTAGAGTCGCAGGAAAGTGTTGCAGGAAAAAGTCGCAGGAAAGAGTCGCAGGTAATACACCTAAAATCGCAGATAATATCGCAGGTAACTGAAACTTTCGCAGAAAAAGTCGCAGCAAATTCAGAATCCGCAGGTAAATGCGCAGATATTTTCTCTCTCAGGTTTTTAATTTGTATTATTAATTTTGTTTAATTCTTATTTAAAATTTTATAAATATTAAATGTCAAAGAAACAAGAATATAAAAATAAAAATCTAATTTGAATAAATCAAGGCAACACTAATTTCATTCAAATTTTTAAAGCAAACATTACTTTAGAATAAGTAATTATAGAATTACATTACTAAATGATAATCAAACTACTAATAATTACTTGTCCAACCAAGTTAATCAGAAAAAACAATCCAGATTTCAGACAAATTAATAAAAAAAAAGACAATCAAAGGCTGACATTTACATTAAAACATGAGTGAGAAGAGAGTGTCTCTAAGAATGTAGATTGAATGCACTTCTCATCTGCCGGTTCATTATGAAGAACTTTAGGTGCCATCCATTGAGGCTATAAGCAGAAAAAAAAGTCTTTTATTCTCTCTGGCCGATCGGAATTTAATCTGTGAGCAAAATCTTCCACTTCCCTGCATCACAAAATAACATCAAATTACTTTGCTTTCAAATAAATCAGCAGTAGTAAGTGTAATCCAACGTGTTTAAATTATGCAAGGAAAATGATATGATGTTGAACACTACCAAATTAAGTGTAATCCATAAGTTTTCAAATTAACTACTACTACTATTTAGTAAGTCCAACATTATCTAGCCATCAACTTCTATTCTATGAGCTGAGCAGTCAATGGTGTTGTTTTACAAAAGTATACACCGCTCACACAATATAATAAAGCATATACGAAAACCACAAAAGTCAAAACCGTCGGAGCAGCCACAAACAAATTACAATATAATATACCTGCATGTGACTTCAGTTAAAAATAAAATAATAAATTCATAATAAATTATTCGACATATGATAAAGCATGAATATTGTTGGCATTCAAGTATAGACGCTTAAGTTCTTATTTACATGTTGTAAGATTTTAGATTCAAAATATAATTTGAAAGTTTTTTATATTATTCCGTTTCCGTAAATTCCTTTTTAATTATTATTTTTTTATTATTCATATATGTAAAAAAAATTAATAATTACTTTTATTTTTTAAACAATAACTCTTATTTTTTAAACAATATCTTAACTAATCATTATTTTCCCCCTAAAAGAATATGGTTGAAAAAATAACAGTAATTTCTACATTAAAAATGATAATTACATTCATTTTAAAACAAACTTTTTTTTCTAAAATAATGGTGATTTTAAAAAGGAGAAAGTCTCAATTATTATAGTTATATAAAACCCTTATTGTTTATATTTAAAGTATAAGGGAATAGGAGTATATAATAACTAACAAGCTTCTCTTTCTCTTCATACAAGCTCTTGTTTTGGAAAAGCAAAGATGGCAAGCTTCAACATGGAATATTATCTTCCAATAATAGTTATGGTGGTCATACAGTTTATTTTATTTGATTATCATGGCGCGGAAGACCACTTCGTGCCCCTAGAGCTCTGCACTTGGCAGCTGCCTGCAATTGCCATAACAATTCATAAGCTTCTTACAACAAAGTAATCCAGTAAATTTCAACTCGAGTGTAAAACTATTTAGTATTCACCACATTGGCAGCAAAGCATAGCATTTTCTCTGTTGAAAAGTTGGCACAGATAGCTGAAAGTAATCAAAGAAATCTTGAATAAATAATAAAGCTATGTCGATTCAAGGATAAGATATGAAATAAAGCAGTTGCGGTGGCATATTACCGTAGAGAACAGTCTCCCGTGAATGCATCACCGGCACCAGTGGTATCAATAAGCTCTGATGGTGGTATGTTTTCCGCTGTTCCAATGTACAACCTACCACAAATTGTTCCTATACCTTCTGCTCGCAACTTTGTCGCCGACTGGAAATAGTATAAGAAATTCAGATCCGCTACAGTCCGCTTTATAAATTCAGATACAAGAAAATGTGACAAATTATTTATGTGCAAAACAGGATTTCAGACAAAAACTGTTGAGAGTTTCGTTACGATTATCGATGATATGCAGGTTGGGATGCATACGCTCCCATTCTTTCGTGTTTCCAGAGATTCCAGTAGTTTGTCAACATCCATTTCTTCTTCTGTGGATGGAACCTCTGCCAAAAAAGCAAAATAAGTGAAAAGAACATGTTTATACAATTAATATTGAAAATCATTTTCAGATAAAACCCTCCATTATCAATATTGTTACCAGTACTGATACTTCTCTTATCCATCATCCCCTCTCTTCTGGTTGCCTTTTTGTTATTCATAATAAAAATCATCGTATCCCCTAGACATTTCATCAAACATTTAGAGTGCAATAAAGGAATTCCAAAAAACATATCAAAAACACATTGAGACATTTCATCAAACATTTAGAGTGCATCAAAGTAAAGGCTTCAATTCAATTAATAAGAAATACAACAAATTCAGCGACATGTAATTTTTATGGCAATGAATATTCAAATACTTAAGAGTTTTTGGTTGCTCATGCTTTCCTCTATTAAGACCTTTTAATAAACACAAACTACAACTGAGAAGCCAAGAATACATCTACCTTGGAATATCTCCTCAACATTAGGGCTTCAAATGTCTTAGCAAGGAGGGTAGATAAAGGAATTCTAAAAAACATATCAAAAACACATTGAGACATTTCATCAAACATTTAGAGTGCATCAAAGTAAAGGCTTCAATTCAATTAATAAGAAATACAACAAATTCAGCAACATGTAATTTTTATGGCAATGAATATTCAAATACTTAGTAGTTTCCAAACTGCACAAGTAAAACACAACAAAAACAATCAAACCCAAGCAGACATAAATTATTCAAGAAATTAGCATAAAGAAATTATTCAAAACAAGAAAAAGAGATGCAGAAAGTTAAAACTAACTTGAAAGAGAGTGGTAGCATAGGTGATATAGTTCCTCATTCTTCCTTGAGTGGTAATGCTGATCTCATTTTCGTTAATTGGAGTATCTGCTTTGGGTTTCTCCACCCTCTGGTACCTATCCATCTGAACACAAAAACAAAATCAATTAATCAAAAACACTGAATCGATTATAAAATATATCAATATTTTTATTTTATTTTATCATCTTTTAAATTATAAAATTGAATTAAAAATTAATAAATTGATCTATAGTATAATAATCTAGTTATTTCATCAAAATATTTTAATACACAAAATGAATAAAGTTTTTTTTATATAAAATAATAAAATTGAAAGGATTATATATAAATTGATCTCTAGTATAAGAAAAGGATTGTTTTATTAAAAGGATATATTGATCTCTAGTTTAATAAAAGCCTTTTTATCATCTTTTAAATTATAAAATTGAATTGAAAATTAATAAATTGATCTCTAGTATAATAATTTAGTTATTTCATCAAAATATTTTAATACACAAAATGAATAAAAGCCTTTTTATATAAAATAACAAAATTTAATGAAATAACAAAATTGAAAATATTTTTATATGATATATATTTTATTAAAAGGATTATATATAATATAAAAATATATGTTATCAATTGAGTAAATGGATTATTTTATCATCTTTTTAAATTTTAAATTAAAAAAAAATTATAAGTTGAAGAATTACACATCAATTTATCATAAACTTATATTTTTAATTTTTTCTAATTTTTACAACAATAAAAGAAATATTAAATAAATAAATTTTCTTTAAAAAATAACTAAAAAAACTTAATTAATATTATAAAACCTTTTTAAGAAAAACAAAAATTTAATATAAAATTAAAAAATGTCTGAACAACATATTCTTGGAATCAATATTTATTTTATAATTTTATTTATTAATCGTAAAAATATAATTAAAAATAAAAATAAATTAAATAATTCGAAGAAAAAGTCGCAGAAACATTTACAGCAAATTCCGCAGCAAATCTCGCAGCTATTCCTGCGACATTTCCAGAGACTTTTGTTGTTTCAATAGATGACTAATTCCTGCGAAGGAAATCGCAGACAATTCCGCAGGAAATTTAATTTTTAATTTTAAATTTAAAGTCGCAGCTAAAATCCCAGAAATTCCTGCGAGATTTACTGCTATCACTTTTTTCACAAGAAATGATGTTCACAATATAGAAGCGCAGGGAAAATCACAGATATTTCTGCGAAACCTTTTCCGCAGGTAAACTGTGTATTTCTAGTAGTGATATATATATATTGCTCTGTCCCGCTCGTCACACGGGGTCGGCCCAATCCATCTCTCCGTCGTGGAGGGCCTAGCTCATTGATCAGTTGTCGCTCGCGGATCAAAACGAGTGTTTTTGATGAAAACGTAATACAGCGACAATTCAACTCGGATATCGTCTCAAGGATTCTTTTATGTGATTAATCTACCAAATTAGAAATGGAGGGGGAGTTGGTTTGGTTTCTGATCGGATAAATAAAGAAAATGCAATTAAGCGGTTAAAATAAGTGATTATCAAAATAAGTCTATCTACTGTTTTCGGTTCCGGCTTATCACGGGTTTCTACCTTACCAATTTCCTAAGCGATTTCGATCTCTATTCGATTCCTATGTCAATTAACAAGCGCAAAAGACATAAACTAGATTAACAATCCTATATACCAAATTAAGCAAACGGATTAAGTTTTCGTGAATTAAGCAAACACGAATTATAAACGCGAATTAACGACAAAGCGACGTAACGACGAATAAAAGCTAAGGATGCAATCATACGAATTTAATCAAAAGAGTTCTATAAACTAACAGATTAATCGAAAGCAATTCATAGAATAGTGTTTAAAGAGAAACGAATTAGATTGATAAAGTAAAAACCTCAACGCGTTGGAACGCGATTACAACAGAATGACTCGAAGGAATTAGCTCTCCATGGTTCTCTCAAAGCTCCGAATGTATTTTTCGTGAAAATGTAACTAGGTGAACAGTAACACGAGTATTTTTCCTTTAAAAAGAAAGCAAATTCGGGTCATAACCCAACTGGGTCGAAAACATAACCCAGGCCCAATACATGACCCAACACTAAAATAAAATTCTAATGCAGTAACTTCAAACGGAATTCTGGAATTTTGGGCTCCGAATCTGACTTCGACTCCAACACGAAAGTCGTATCTCTCTCTCTTAGCTTTCCGGCGAATTTTAGAACGCCTCAAACGGATTTCCGGAACTCCAGTTATGATCGTTTCCGTGCCGACTGCTAAAGCTGAAAAATAAGTGCGGAAATCAAATTAAGCCAAAAAGAAAATAAAATATAAATACAAAATAAAACATAAAAATAATCAAGATAAAGTAAAGAAATGCCTAAGTAAAAATATAAGAGAAAGTGCATAAGTATGCACTGATCACTCATCACGCTGGGAGCGCTTAAGCGTCTCCCCATGGACACAAACCTTAGGATCTATGACATTTTGATATTAATGATTATAGGAATACCTTAACGAATATAATGAGAAAGATTTTTAGACAATGGCAACGATAATTCTAAAATACAAAAGTGTATAGACAAGTGTTTGACACTGGTTGGCTTGTGGATTTTTCTCAACCGGTACTCGTAATGTCTTGAAAACTCTTCGAATGGGGATAAAAAGAGACAATCTTCTTATAGGATGATATATTTGTGATCATAGTCTATATATAGAATGATAATCATTTAGAATTCTCATTATTTCGAAATGGATTATCTTGACATCCACTTATATTTAAGCACATATTCAATTGAATAATTAATTATTAAATATAATTAATTATTTTATTTACTTACTCAACCGATTAAGATTCTTATATATATATATATATATATATATATATATATATATATATATATATATATATATATATATATATATATATATATATATATATATATATATATATATATATATATATATATATATATATATATATATATATAATATATATATATATATACATATATATATATATACATATATATATATATATATATATATATATATATATATATATATATATATATATATATATATATATATATATATATATATATATATATATATTGCTCTGTCCCGCTCATCACACGGGGTCGGCCCAATCCATCTCTCCGTCGTGGAGGGCCTAGCTCATTAATCAGTTGTCGCTCGCGGATCAAAACGAGTGTTTTTGATGAAAACGAAATACAGCGACAATTCAACTCAGATATCGTCTCAAGGATTCTTTTATGTGATTAATCTACCAAATTAGAAATGGAGGGGGAGTTGGTTTGGTTTCTGATCGGATAAATAAAGAAAATGCAATTAAGCGGTTAAAATAAGTGATTATCAAAATAAGTCTATCTACTGTTTTCGGTTCCGGCTTATCACGGGTTTCTACCTTACCAATTTCCTAAGCGATTTCGATCTCTATTCGATTCCTATGTCAATTAACAAGCGCAAAAGACATAAACTAGATTAACAATCCTATATTCCAAATTAAGCAAACGGATTAAGTTTTCGTGAATTAAGCAAACACGAATTATAAACGCGAATTAACGACAAAGCGACGTAACGACGAATAAAAGCAAAGGATGCAATCATACGAATTTAATCAAAAGAGTTCTATAAACTAACAGATTAAGCGAAAGCAATTCATAGAATAGTGTTTAAAGAGAAACGAATTAGATTGATAAAGTAAAAACCTCAACGCGTTGGAACGCGATTACAGCAGAATGACTCGAAGGAATTAGCTCTCCATGGTTCTCTCAAAGCTCCGAATGTATTTTTCGTGAAAATGTAACTAGGTGAACAGTAACACGAGTATTTTTCCTTTAAAAAGAAAGCAAATTCGGGTCATAACCCAACTGGGTCGAAAACATAACCCAGGCCCAATACATGACCCAACACTAAAATAAAATTCTAATGCAGTAACTTCAAACGGAATTCTGGAATTTTGGGCTCCGAATCTGACTTCGACTCCAACACGAAAGTCGTATCTCTCTCTCTTAGCTTTCCGGCGAATTTTAGAACGCCTCAAACGGATTTCCGGAACTCCAGTTATGATCGTTTCCGTGCCGACTGCTAAAGCTGAAAAATAAGTGCGGAAATCAAATTAAGCCAAAAATAAAATAAAATATAAAAACAAAATAAAACATAAAAATAATCAAGATAAAGTAAAGAAATGCCTAAGTAAAAATATAAGAGAAAGTGCATAAGTATGCATTGATCACTCATCACGCTGGGAGCGCTTAAGCGTCTCCCCATGGACACAAACCTTAGGATCTATGACATTTTGATATTAATGATTATAGGAATACCTTAACGAATATAATGAGAAAGATTTTTAGACAATGGCAACGATAATTCTAAAATACAAAAGTGTATAGACAAGTGTTTGACACTGGTTGGCTTGTGGATTTTTCTCAACCGGTACTCGTAATGTCTTGAAAACTCTTCGAATGGGGATAAAAAGAGATAATCTTCTTATAGGATGATATATTTGTGATCATAGTCTATATATAGAATGATAATCATTTAGAATTCTCATTATTTCGAAATGGATTATCTTGACATCCACTTATATTTAAGCACATATTCAATTGAATAATTAATTATTAAATATAATAAATTATTTTATTTACTTACTCAACCGATTAAGATTCTTATATATATATATATATATATATATATATATATATATATATATATATATATATATATATATATATATATATATATATATATATATATATATATATATATATATATATATATATATATATATATATATATATATATATATATATATATATATATATATATATATATATATATATATATATATATATATATATATATATATATATATATATATATATATATATATATATATATATATATATATATATATATATATATATATATATATATATATATATATATATATATATATATATATATATATATATATATATATATATATATATATATATATATATATATATATATATATATTGCTCTGTCCCGCTGTTGCACCCCAAAATTTGACCAACATTTATTCATCCATTGAGTGTTTGA